CAGAATAAACAAATACAGTACATATGTACACTATGTTGTCAAATATTTTTCCATTTAAACAACCATTTACAGACAAATATGGCATAATTTTGCCGTTAGTTTGAAATGTGGTTAATTATGATTGATACTTTTTTAAGCTGTAATTAACTCGATTAAAATTTTTAATTCTTCGACAGCCCTATTTCAAACACATGAAAAGCATGGTGCATAAGGGGCAGATGACCTATGTCTATAAATTTTGATAGATGTCCCTCATTAATGCTGAGAAAAAAATCAACACAAAAATAACTGGAACAATGACTGTTCACCGCTTCAAACCACAAAACAATACTTCACAGGTGGACACACATTGGAAGTTTAATGGGGAAAAAATGAACCAAAATTTGATATCATTAGGCAGAGTGCTCCAATTACTACTTTCCGTTTTACATTTCAGTTTTATAACTCAGAGAAAGATAAGGGACTAGTAACTAGATTGTATGAGAATCGCAAAGCTGGGTTTTGGGTCCTTTCAGATGGGGGTCGGCAGCTTGAGCAGAGGTCTGATTAACCTCTTTCTCCTAGCTTCTTTCTTTACTGTAAATTTATGTAAAAATTTGTTTATTTCCAAAGTGAGATTGGAAGATATTTTGTTGATATACTGTATGCTAGCTAGTTTATTGGTCAGTCCCAAAATAAAACTCCTTTTGTCTAACACCAGTGAGACCCCCTCCACATCTTGTCTGCGAAAAAAAAAACCACATTGGAAGTTTTTAATCCTAAATGTTCCCTCTGTATGTGACATTTGACAGCTCTCATAAGCTATATAAATCCCATGCACCTGTACAGCAGGCCTCACACGGCACACTTATAGTTGGGTGATGGATGGCACATATTGGAAAAGGGATGAAGCCGGTGAACAAAATTGCTGGAAAAACGGCTAAACCTAATGGTAGATTTTAAAGTTCAGGCCTACAGGTGAACACTTGACTCTGAGGGTGATGTTCTTAACCATCCCCTTCACTACATGATAGATGATCCCTGCTACAACGGCGTCATACCACTCCAGAACATTGCGGCTCTTTGGAGTGGAGGCTTTAGACTTTAAAAAGAGAGGAAATTACTACGGGCTAGAAATGACGTGTGGAGCAGGAGACGGACTGCGGGGCTTCTGTTTCGATCGGTGCTGCTCGCTGTAATTGGCCAAGAGGGGTTTAGCAAGCTTGCGCATTAGCAATTGCAGATGGAGGCCTTGTCACTACCCAATAATAACACACTGTGGGTTATGTATGGAAATGCACGTCATGCCTCAGTCCTGTATGGTTCTGAGAAGTGGAGGCGAATGAAGAAACTCTGCACTTTCTTTGACAATTTACCTAAATGTGATATTGGAGTGTATTGTTATCTCAGCAATTATAATCTCCTCTGGCTACCAGTGATACCAAACAACTCCTTCACAAGTTAGGCTAATGGAAAAGATCCATAGTTCACATATTGGTCTAGGTTTAAATTAACTTAAAAAAAATAAACCAAACCCACCTATTTTGAAAGAACTTGAATATTTGCACACAGTTATGGTCGGCCAAAATACATTGTAAAAGTGTATAACCTATATGGCTACAAGTTATGTAAATAAAATAATTGAATTGAATTGAAAAATGTAATATGGATGTGCTATATGTCCGGTTATAATTTATACATTAAATTCCACATTTAGAATCTCCTTGGAAAGTACTAGTATAGCCTGGATACAGGAGCCCTCCTTAAAATTGTTCTGGACTTCATCTAAATTTCCTCTCTTTGCAGACTTGCAAACATTAAATACCAAGGCCATATGGTTGGTGTAACAGGATATACATTTTTGCACATTTTTGAGCATTTTCAAAACAAAAATGGAAATTTCAAGCTGGTAATATATTCATGGTCACATAGGCAACTGAACCTATCAAAGTAAAAAATCACCAATTCTAGAACCATGTCTTGAATTAAAGTAGTGTGGATTAGGATGAAAACAGAAATTTGAACATGAAAAAGCACCCAGTGAAACAGAAGTCTTTGCAAAACTGTAAATGAAGCATCAATGCATCGTATCTGAGTATCTGAGAATCTAGCACTAAACGTAGTCAACATTATGTTCATTCTACTCTTTCCAATTTGAAATATGTTGATACAGAATGTGTGGGGTCTATCACAATACATCATCATTAGGAGTTGATATATTATTTCAAACCACAAGCGCTGAAATAATGGCAGTTTTCAAAATCAATTCACAGAGCTGCTCTCAACCCACTTGTCATTTGCAAAGACACCCTGTTGAGCGCTGCACATCATCTGTTGGATTATAATCCCATAACTGGCTTTCCTTTGCTATCACATAAACCCAAGCCCAGAGTCCAAAATTCTAAGCTGCAGATGGAAGGAAATAAGACTATTAGGCAGTTGTACAGTCATCAGCATCCTGTAGATTGTTCCTAAAGAACAGTTGTCAGATTGTCAATGAGGAATATCTAATTTATTTTGTTGTCGAGCCTCAGTTATCTGTTTTCATTAAAAGTCTCTCACCTCTGCATCCTCTTACATTTCCCTATGTGCTGTGGCGCCATGCTCCAGGCCATATCTGCTGACTCGACATTTCCTGCACTCCCCTATCTTCTTTTTCCTTCATCTTGCTTTTCCCTCCTCTTCGCTCTCTCATTCCCCACAGAATTCCCAAACCTTGATTCCGTTCCAAGCCCCGGTCTTTCCACTTTCCCTTCATTTTTCTCCTCATCTCTCCTCTGCCTCTAGTCCAATGCAGTGACTCTGGAGCTAAAATTAGATTACGTCTTGGGTTATTAACACTGTTGTACTGGGCAGGAACTGGCCAAGCTCCAGAAAAGCACACTCTGCCTATGAGGGACAAAAGAGGTGTGACACTCCGTTTGTTTGCTTCATTTGGCCAACACCCAAACTCATTTCGACAAACCCTGTTTCGCAACACTATGCACCCCATTAATGTGTTGCCCTTTGATCTCTAACCCTTGGCTCACACTCTCTCCGACACTGACTTTGGTGCAGGGTGGCGGCTGCTGTTTTTCCTTCTCACTCCAATTGTTTGTTTTTGTTACTTAAAAACTGAGTTGGATGAATTTATTTTTCAGTGCATGTTATAGCAGCCAGAGCGTGTTGGAGCAAAACTTCATCCATGAGCACTTCCTTATTTGGTTTCATTGAGCTAGTGGGTTAGCTTTGTTCATCTATATCTTTTTATTTGCTTCTTGGTAACCTCCTGCCTAATTTGCATGATCATATACTGCAATGTAATCTTTCAGTTTTTAAAAGTAACTATTTTGATGCCACCAAAACATAGTAATTTATTCTGAATAGTTTCTCCAAAATAAAGGCTTCTCATACGTATTACTGGGACTAGTATTTAGTTACTCCGTATCTGCACAAAAGAAGTCTTACATATTTCAATAATGCAACAGTCAATGCATTGGAGGCAGTTCAAAAGTAATGTTTATTGTTTTATTATTTAAAGTAGATTCTTTAATATGCAGAGAGTTACTTTTACTGCTTATAATAAAAGCAGAGCCAGTTTGAGGAGCGTGAAGAATAACAATGTGACTGTGGCCAGCACCAAACTTGATTTAGATGAATAATGATAATCAGTGCCAGTCCATTTTGTGAAAATGTATCCTGACAGACGCTGTGGGTTTGTGGCATTTGCCATTTGTCAAAAAAAAAAAAAGGTGGATCTGATTTTTCTGCACTGATTTGGACTTATTTTTTTCATTGTGGGGACGACCTTAAAGGCTTAATTGGCCGACTCAACATCTACTGGGACGAGTCCACTCTGGAATACATTTTGTTGCTGTAATTTGTACTATATTTGGAACATTGCACCATTGTTGAGTGTGCAGAAACAATGGGCAGATCCAAATCTAAAAGAGTGTATAGTACAATGTTTGAAAATGCATAAAAGCTCCCATCAGTAAGGTAATTTATTGCAGACATCTGGAAAGTAGAGTGACGTTTTGGGCGTTTCCCTTCATCAGAATAATCAGGAATAAACAGGGTATTTTGAATTACCCTTAAGAGCCCTGGGCACTTAAATATATTGTGGTTTTTACTTTTTAAATATATATTCTGTCACAGTTTGAATACATGTAGGGTATTAAATAGACAGGTTATTGTTAAAAATGTAGATGTTTACTTATGAATTGAGATATCTTTGCAGAGTGCGAGAATTGTGTCATCTTGTAACTGGAAATAGCGACCTGACCTGAGACCTTTTTGTTCTGCTCACTGCAGCTAGCATCATTACTCCAGTGTCTGTGTGGTCAGTGAAGCACTCACAATACTATAGCTCTGGAAAGGATCCTACAAACAGTGTTGTACCATTCTTTCATATGTATTTTTGTAAATAACTTAATTTTCCTTGTAAATAGTCTAAGGCTGTAGTCAGACACGCTCCTACTTCAGACTGATTGCTATGCCTTCCAAAATAAGTCAAAGAAACTCCTCTCTAATTGTTGGGATTAAGCATTCCTTTTATCAGGGCCCTTTTCAGTCACTGCATGACACAATTGTATTACTATGCAACAATAATATCTTGAGTCATAAGTAAAGACCTAAAATTGAGTTGAAGTGAACATTGTGAATTGTCTAATGGCATTTCTGTTATTACCCTGTGTATTCAAATTGTGACTGTATATTATTCACTGCATCTTTAATATATAAAACAATATTTTCAAGTGCCGAAGAGCTATTTATGTAATTGTGTGTATTGTACTTTAAAAGAATTGTAGTTTTTGTGCACATACACTTTGTAAAATGATCACATGACCCATCAATCCTCTTTATTGAAGGGAACCTTGGAAACACTACTCTACTTTCTTGTGGTGAGCAGTAAATTACATAATTGATGGTAACTATTTTTGCATTTTAAGATTCCACCATGGGCAATGCGACATGGTCCTGGACAAGTGTTAGATGCCCTCTGAACTCTTTGAGATGAAGAGGACTTCGGCTTTAAACGCATGTCGAGTCGTATACTGTCAGTTTCCGGACAGATGGCCGACACTTGGACTGAGAACATGGTGTTTGTTGGTGTGAGTGAACGCTGGAGACACGAGCTGCAACATTAATTGATATTCTTGTCTTTTTGCCCCAATTAGATCAATTTTGAAATACGCAATTTGTATTTCAGATGATCTGGATGAGAAGTTATGGATTGGGGTTTGACATGAGGAGAACAAGGACGCCTGATGGCAAGAGCTTGTGTGAATTGTATGTACAAGTATTTCAAAATAATAGGAGGAGTAATAAGAGTAAGAATAAGAGTAGGGATAAGAGTAGGAATAAAGGTATAGATGCACTTTATTTGTCCCCGTAGGGCAATTCATCATCTGCATTTGACCCAGAGGACTACCGCAGCTGGAGGATTTACCTATTGTACATGTTTTTAGTGGTAGGGGAAACTGGAGCACCTGGAGGAAACCTACACCGGCACGGGGAGAACATGCAAATTCCTCTCAGAAAGGCCCTGGTCCGACTGGGACTCAGCCACCGTGCCGCCCTGCCAAATATGAGTAGGAGTAGGAATAAGAGTAGGAGTAGGATAGATAGTAATTGCCTGAATTCAGTTTCTGTATACTTTTTATCATACAAATAAACTGATTAATTATGACAATTGATGTATGGAGAAAGACCGGTGCACCAGATCAGAATTAGATGATTCTTTTCATTGATATCGGACACTATAATGTAGGGCTGGGCATCAAAACGATAATGTTATATTTCGCGATAGACACGTGTTCGATATCAATAGAAAGTGGGGTCGATATAATGTTTGATAGTTTAACTTCATTCCATTAGAAAATACAGGAAATAAAGCCGGGTCATAAGCGCGCGGCATTCTGGGGGACGTAGGCAGAGGCTTCTCGACCTATCACGGCCAAACATGAATCGCAAAACATTCTGGGAAATGCAAAAAAAAATAACGTAACAGTCTATGACCACACCACGCCTAGCGTCCATGGATCTATAAATCGTGTATCGATGCCGTGTCAATAGTTAAGCACGTCTGTTTGAGGAACAGCATGTGCAGCGCTGTAGAGGCAGTGGGAAAAGCGACATGATGCAAAAGCAAGAGATTAACTTTTTCCTCGAGAAGCACGTGCGGAGCCGTGACAAGGGACACAAGACACTCAAAAACAGCCAAACCAGGACTAAACCAGGACTAAACCAGGACTAAACCAGGACTAAACCAGGACTAAACCAGGACTAAACCAGGACTAAACCAGGACTAAACCAGGACTAAACCAGGACTAAACCAGGACTAAACCAGGACTAACAAATGGGGGACACCGCTTGTGAACATATGCCTCCAGCCTCAGTTCTCATTCCCCTTTGACTGTAAACAACGTCTTAGCCGACACGACAAATGTATTTATTTTGGTTTAAAATAAATAATTAAATAACAATCAAGAAATATTGATATTGACTGATATGAATCACTTATTGTGATATAGTTTTCAGCCATATCGCCCAGCCCTACTATCATGTCATATGTTTCATAACTTCAACATGACGATCAAAAAACAACGGCTGGTCGACGATGTGTGGTTATTGCTTTTCTTTGGACTTCCCTTATTCCCTTTATAAGCTGTTTATATTACACATACATGTTAGCACTCCAAACAAGACTTCTTAGCATTTCAAGACGTCACCTGTTCCATCCTCTGGCACTGCTCGTTTGTTAGCGCTGCGTGGCCCACAGCAAACATTGAACTGTGCACCTCCGCAAACGGCCATTATCACAAATGTCATCACCGTGCATCTCGGGGACAGGGACTATAATGGATATGGAGGATTGCGAGCACGAGGCTTCGGGAGGTTTTAACTCTGCGAGCTCACGTAGTTAAACTGTTTGCCTGCATAATAAATCAAACGTGTCACTGAGTGTTTATACCACTGCTGCATTAAACAAATGAATTTCCTCGCACATGCAACTTCTTCCCTGTGCGTTTCACCGGTGTCATTGTGCGGCTTGAATTAGCATTCGCAGATATTCACAAGGGATTGGGGATCTCGCCTGCCTGCGTCTGTCACTGATGTATTTCCCTACACCTGAATGCCTGTGCAGAGGGCGGGAGTGAGAGCAGTTCAACAAACAAATTAGCACAGGGAAGTCACAAGGGTCTGTTTAGTGCAACAATGTGGAAATCTCCTGAGCTCAGAGGGTGAAATCTGTGGTTTTAGCTCACTGCAAGAGCATGGTGCTGTTTAGTGGTCATGTTAAAGCAAAACAAGTTAATGACAGTAATGACACATAAAGTGGTGGCTAGAGGGATGCTAAAAAAATGATATTTGGATATATTTGACATTATAATATTTGTAAAAGATATTTTACATTTAGTTTTATGAAGTGAAAACAATTGGGTGGTTACATTGTTTACTTAAAAATAGCAATAAGATATATTTGAAAAGGGGTTAGATAAAGTGAGCTCTTGCTTCCAAACCTCTTTTACCCGTTTAACCCAAGATAATGATGACGATGGATCCAGGACACTCGACATATAACGAGATGTATGGACTTCATTAACATTTATGGACATTGGTCATCTGTCCCCATAGGACCAATGTCTCTGTTTTTTTATCACTGCATTGTGTTTGAATTGTTCGATTCTCTGATTTGTGTCGGTGAATCAACAGTTTTGTGAAGTCCTCTGAGATATTCCGGTTGCTGCTGTTGTTTCTGCTTATTTCATCTGCAGTGATAGACTTGCAACACCACTGGGCATATTCAAGATGTTACATTATGTAGAGCTATCTTTTACCTGGTATTTGATGTGCCAAAGGTGTCTGACTTCTATCAAAACCAGGTGGCTGTGGTTTAGAGTTCATGGTTCTAAGGCGGCTAAAGGAAAAATTGTGTCCCTCGGCGCGCCTTAAAGATGATGTAAACAGCTCGAGGCGTTCGTGGTACGGACTGGGACGATGCGGTGAGAGGCGATGCTCCGGCAGAGTGCTCACGGAGAGGCAATACAAATATTCATGAATCTATGTAGTGGTGAGATCCTATACAGTGATATGAACTAGCACTTTGGTTGCTGTGAAAGAGTGGTTAGCTAACGGCAGTATCATAGTGAAGTGGTCTTCAAAGCGGTCATCAAAAGGCCATTTGGCTGCAGGTGTTTTCAGTCCAACCAAGCAGGAGGACAACAGACGGCCATTTCCGCAAGTGAGTCCAGTCGTAATCTTAAGACTTGGTGAAATGGGTGAAGTTTGGTGTTCTCTTGCTTATTTAGAAAGCAGGACAGCTGCAGCATTACAGTCCTTTGAGGATTGGTTTGAAGACTAGAAAAGAGACTTAACTTTTCTAAAGTGATATTAACTTGGCTCTTTTGAATTCAGTGATCACACAGTCTGCCCTAAGTCATGGTTGATATGACAAGAAGCATCCATCCATCCATTCATTTTCTTTCCGCTATATCTGTTGCCAGGGCAGCTGTCTAAGCAGAGATTCCAAGACTTCCCTATCCTCACACACTTTCTCCAGCTCATCCGGGGAAACCCCAAGTTCTCAGACCAGCTAAAAGACATAGTCCCTCCAGTGTGTCCTGGGTCTTCCCCTGGTCTCCCCAGGGAGGCATCCAGGACGCATCCGACACAAATGCCCAGCCACCACAACTGGTTCCACTCAACCCGAAGAAACAGCGGCTCTACTCCGAGCTCCGTCCGCATGACTGGGCTCCTCACCCTAACCCTAAGGGAGCGCCCAGCCACTCTGCGGAGGAATCTCATTTAAACCGCTTGTATCCGCGATCTCCACACAATACAATCAATTAACATGCTGCGTTTGCATGAGTTTTGATCTGTCAAAAGTAGAGCTATGCCAAAAGTCAAAAGATCACAATCTCAAGTTTGATAGATTGCAATTATTTGCATCTGAAATAAAACCATAAGACATTCATTATGTGGCAGTAACAGTGTGAAGGGGCTCAAGGGTTTTTCCTCACTCGCTCATGTATCCTTGTCTTACACTATGATTACATATATTGGCTTACACATAGCATTAAAGTTTGGTTTTGGGTTGTTTTTGTCATACATGTTTTAGTACCTCAAGATCAGGCAATAAAAATCATGGTTAATTTTTTACCCAGATTGCCCTGCCCTACCCCTAATTAAATGGACCAGGTTATATATCTAACTTTTCAGGCATCGTTGTAGTGATTTATATTTTTTGCCCCCAGAAGAGTCCAAACCTGGTCACTGGCTTCTCTGTTGAATCCAATCATAATCCACAAGAATCCACTTCAATCAAAATGAGAAGTCAAAAGTCAGTTTAGGATCTCAGCCTCCCAATTTTACCCCTGAAAGCACATATGGTACAGCTCTAGTTTCTAGAATGTAGCAGATCTTTCTCTCCCTCTTTTGATTTCTGCCTCCACCTCCTCTACCCCTCTCCCTCTCCTGCTTCTCCTCGGCTCTGTGATGTACGAGCATGGCCGTTTCTCAGACGTCACTGGTTGCGTGACGTCACAGCTCTGGCTCAAAGCATCCATGCTCACTCTCGCTTCTGGCGTTTTTTCTCTAGGGATTTTCTTTTTTTTTCTTCATCCACCATTAATCAGCTCTATCCTTTCCGCTTGACATTCTTTGTCTGCAGCTAAATGTAACTGAGCACTGGCAAAAGTCATTTTCTCGTGATGCGACACTAACAGCAGATTTAGAATTTACAGTTCTATCCATAATCGGCATTGTCAAAATGTTAATAGATATCATTCTAAAGAGGGTATTGGAACGTTTAACAGGCTTATTTGTTCACCATACTTTACCTTTCCTTACAATTCAATTCAATTAAAATGTATTTTGTATAGCTCTAAATCACAACAGATCAAACACTGTTCGAACACTGGAAATGCTTTAATAACAAACACATAGGAGCCATAGGGGGCGGTTGACCAATGTCCATAAATGTAAATACATGTCCAGGAATGTTCAGCAAGGAACACCTCAAAAACCAAGTTGGAAAAAGTTACAATGCTCAGGGAAGCCCATTTTGAGAGAGCCATGAGCTCTCACAGACGGTCAGGC